CAAAAATTTGGGTTTTAAAAAGTGTCAAAAAATTGTGTTCTGTGGAATTGCTTTAAAAATAAAGATTTTGTCGGGGATGGGTTCGAATGATCATTTATTTCCATTCAATATTGCTTTAGTTACATTTATTGCGTGTTACGCGACTCTTCGCTTACGAGTACATTAATATTTCGTGCGTCCGTGTTGGCGCCTGAGCGTTGTTACATTGTTTAAAATTTCTAGTTGGTCGCGTGCCGGTCGCGTGCGGCACTCTCTCTTTTTTTTCTGTCTCATCTTAGCAGCAGTGTATTTTGACGTGTACGTTTCACCGTTGAATAAAGATCCATTGACAATAGATCTGCTTCCTATCTATTTCGGGAAACCATCAAGTGTTTTGTGGGACACACTCAAGCTTATATATTTTCTCAACCACAGATTTTTTAAAAATATTAAGACAAGTTTTTCAAAATATCTCACTGTAGAAGAGAATTGTATTTTATTATGCCAGTGGACAATAGCTTCATGATTTTTCACAATAGAGCACTGAACATTGTTGTGCGATTTACGACCATTTTTCTCAAAAATTATGAGTAGGCTTCTCTTAAGTGCACACAACACTATTATAAGGTATTGAAAGAATAGGACGCAGTTTTAAGTGAACTTGAATATGAAAAAAACATTACAGATGTCATTGACATTGAATGTTTGCATGCAACCGAAAACATTCGTTTACTATTACAACAAGTTGAATTTTATCTGCAAAAACCAATAAATTGTTATTGTAATAATAACTGAATACTGATCAATATTTGGGCACTAGGTTTTGAAGCCAGCAGTCGCCCCAAAATATGAGCAGTTACCCAGGGCATTAATTTGTAAAATGCAATAGTACGCACACACAAGTTTGTTGTCATTTGAGCCAATATCAGCTGAATTTGGCAGGCATCTTTGTGAAACATGATTGGCATGGCTAACACCCTTTTGTCAACTAAATTTTTATTTGATAGAATTTTAAAATTAGCTTTCAAAATTTATAGCTCTGCTTTCCACAACATGAATCTTCACTCATGGTATGATTGTCTATGGTCATCAACTTTTCATAAATTACAGTTCCACTTGAAAACTATTTGCTCTATTAGTAATGTACATGTATGTGCTTTAATATGTGCATTGACTAGTGATTCAGTATACAAAACATACAATGTTTGGTTTATATGTGCTTTTATTGCACATTTAGCAAATTGTGTGTTTGTGGCTTAGGGTGATCTCATTTTGATCAAAAGCGAGAACTTGTGCTTTGATTTGTGTGTGTGCATCTCCACCTGTATCTTGGACAGGCCTGGTCTGATCACATTCAAACAAATACATCCCATATCTTGGGCAACATATGCATGTCCATTTGGTTTATGATAATAATAATAATAATAATAATAATAACTTTATTGCATCCTTAGAATTACAAATGTTCTATTGGTTTACAGCAATAAATATATAAGTGATTAAAAAAATCAATCTTGATATGATTCAAGATTGTTGAATGGTGGCCATTTTTGTGCTGAAAATTCATCAAAATCAGGCATTTTTTGCCATTCCAGAACCTTTCAAGTATTTTGTTCAAACTTGGTATTAAATCAGACATTATAGGACCTTGATGCACACCATCTTGTTTGTCAGACAAGATTCAAAATGGCTGACTGGCTGACATTTTGTTTTAACAAATGCTGTTCCAGTGCCATATCTCTGACATGTCTTTACTGATCATGTTCAAACTTTACATATAAATTGTACATGGCACACATATGCACGTTTATTCATTTGACAGTTTAATTCATGATACCTGAATGGTGGTCATTTTAATGTTAATCAAAGAAAGCTTAGAAAGAACTCCCATGTGCGGAGAGTTTTACCGTAAAGGCATATTAAAAATTCAAGATTAGCCTTTCAGACAAGAAGCTTGGCAACTACTATCTGTCAGCTGTTTAAGATGCACAACTTGATAACAATGTGATATCCATAAATCTGATTTTACATCTGTGGTTTTTATTCCAATCTGATTAAAATAAGATCAAGTTTGTGCTTTTTTGACTCCTGTGTGCGAAGCACAAAAGAGTCTTTGCAGTTAGTGTGTCTGTCTGTGTCTGTGTCTGTGTGTATGTGTGTGTACATTGATTTTTGATGAAACTTGGTGCATAGATGCACTGTGCCAATGCGCAGATTTTATTAGGTTTTGGTAAAAATTCATGCATATTAATTACCTAATTTGCATGCTAATTAGCTTTTTTTAAGCTGTTCCACTGATATCTAAAGAACCATTCATTGGATTTTGATGAAACTTGGCACATAGATGCTATGAAATAATGGGCAGATTTGATTAGTTTTGGCTAAAAATCTGTGCATATTAATTACCTAATTTGCATAATGGTTAATCAATTTTTGGCTTTTCCACTAATATCTCAAGTACTAACCATCACATTTCAATAAAACTTGGTACATAGATGTCATAGGACACTGCACAGACCTGATAGTTTTTAGAGTAATATCAGTACATATTAATTTCCTAATTTGAATAATTATTTAATTTTCAGCTTTTGATATTTCAAGTAGTAATCATCACATTTCAATGAAACTTAGTACATAGTTACTTAAGGACTGTGCAGAGACCAGATTAGTTTTTGGGTAAATATTTGTGCATATTAATCACCTTATTAGCATAATTAATTAATTTTCAGCTTTTCGCCTGATATCTCAAGTACTAATCATTACATTTCAACGAGACTTCTAGGACTAAACCTGATTAGTTTTAGAGTAAATAATTGTGCATATTAATTACCTAATTTGCATAATTAGTTATTTTTTTTGTCCCATGACTGAACCACTCCTTGGATTTTAATGAAACTTTTAAAGAGTGCTCATCATGACATTTCAACCCAATTAGTTTTTGGTAAATATTTATGCTTATTAATCACCTAATTAACATAATTAATTAACACTGATATCTCGTGTACTGATTCTCACATTTACATAAAATTTGTATATAATTGTTATAGGACAATAGACAGGCCTGATTAAGTTTGGGTTAAAATCTGTTCATATTAATTCTCTAATTAGCATAATAATATATATATTTTTTTGGTTCTAATCAGATTTCAATGAAACTTGGTACGTAGATATTACATTACGCAGACCTTATTAGTTTTACATTGCCCAGACCTTATTTATTTTTACATTCAAATTTGTTCATATTAGTTACCTGATTTGCATGATTAGTTTTCAGCTTTTCCAGCAATATCTCAAGTAATTTT